CCTATCTTAACTTGTGTTTCTGTTTTGTTTTTTGTGGCACTATTTTTGATAGGTTGGTCTGTTTTTTCCCTTTGTATAAAGACAGATGCAAAAAATGAGTTAAATAGTTCTGCTTTCTCCCTGTTGCTTGTCACCTTCTTGCCACTTCCACCCACGAATGGACCAATCATGTCCTTCACTTTTTTCTTGTTTTTTACATGTTGAAAGAAGCTTTTTTTGTTATTTTTGACTTTGGTCGCAAGCCTCAGTTCATTTTGAGCCTTGGCTTTCTTCACTTCATCTTTGCAGGCTCGGGCTATTTCCTGATATTCTGACTTAGTTATGTTCCCCTCTTTCCACTTTCTATACTTGTCCTTTTTATCTTTTAATTTGTCAGAGAGTTCTTTATGCAGCCATGCTGGTTTCTTTTGAGAGCTGTTATTTTTCCTCTTTGTTGGTATTCCCTGGTCCAACACCATAAAGCTACAGGACATGAAATTGACTTTAAAAATACCAGAACCATTGCCAAAAGTGAACATTTTAATAACAGAATAATCAGAGAAGCCATCGAGATAGAAAACGCCCACACAGCATGAACAAGCGAGATGATACCTCCCGCCTACCAGCCATTTGGAAACCCGCCCTTATTGACAAACGACTCCCTAAAACAAAAAATGATACCAGACCCACACTCACAAAAACCACACAGGATGTCACCACCACACATCCACGCAAAAAGCAAACCCAAAGCCACACCGATGATGAGGCACGACCACAAACCAGAAGCCAGACCACAGCTGCATCATTAGCCACTTTAAACCCCTCCAATCCAACATGAAGCAAACTGACACCCTCCATGAAGAGGAAGCACGACCACGAACGCGAAGCCAAAAAATAGCACGGCAGCCCAAAATCTCAAACCCCTCTGCAACTCATACTAACCTGAGCACAACCAAACAGAACACTCCCCCAACCAATCAGAGCACAGCCAACCCCCCAGCCAATCAGAGCACAGCCAACCCCCCAGCCAATCAGAGCACAGCCACGCCCTAACCAATCAGAACACACCTCCACCCAATCAGAACACAGCCAAGCTCCCACCCAATCAGTTCATACCCCCACTGGCAGTTAAAAGGAAGAAACAGCTAAGACCACACATTGCTCCTCGAAGCACGAAGCTGAAACACCAGCCTGAAGATGACGAATGGGAAGTCGTCGAAAACGTCGCCAAGACCCCCCACTTCCAATTTTACGTGGAAAAACCCGAACCAACGAAAGACATATATATATATATATATATATATATATATATATATATATATATATATATACATACACATTGCTTACTGGTGTACACCGCTTAGAGAATGCTTGTACTTAAAGCAGTATATAAGTCTCATAAATAAATAAATAAATAAATTATCCACTAGGACTCCGAGGTCCCTCTCAGAGTTACTACTATTGAGCAAGGTACTCCCTATACTATACCTGTACATTTGGTTTTTCTTGCCTAAATGTAGAACCTTACTTTTTTCACCATTGAATTTCATTTTGTTAGATAGCGCCCAGTGTTCAAGTCTGCCCAGATCCTCCTGTATCCTAAGCCTGTCTTCTGGAGTATTGGCTATTCCTGCCAGCTTGGTGTCATCTGCAAATTTGATGAGTTCCCCATCTATCCCCTTGTCCAAATTGTTGATGAAGATGTTGAAGAGCACTGGGCCCAGAACAGAGCCCTGGGGCACCCCACTACACACTTCCCTCCATGTAGATGCGGTTCCATTGAGGACCACACCCTGAGTACGGCCGGTCAGTCAGCTACAGATCCATGTGGTGGTGATGCTGTCTAATCCACATTTTTCTATCTTATCAAGTAATAGGTTGTGATCTACTTTATCAAATGCCTTACTGAAGTCCAAGTAAATTATATCCATAGCATTCCTCTGATCCACTAATTTTGTCACTTGGTCAAAGAATGCAATAAGATTTGTCTGGCATGATATGTTTTTGACAAACCCATGTTGGCTTTTAGTAATGACTTTGTTTGCCTCTAGGTGTTCACCGATTCGTTGTTTGATTATCTTTCCCAGAATCTTCCCAGGTATTGAGGTCAGGCTGATAGGTCTGTAATTTCCTGGGTCCATTTTTTTCCCCTTTGCTGAAAGGGATTGTGAAGGTATTCATGCATATAAACTAGAAAAGCAAAGAATGGAGACTACCCCTGAAGGAAAAAGGTACATACTGGGAGTTACTCAAACATCCACCCAGTCAGACTTGCCTTCTCTGTAAAGATGGGAGGGAAAAAAGCTGGGAAACAACCTATCAGGGCCTGCAGTTGTTGTAGGCTAGACTGAGCCCCAACCTGGTTCCATTGCAAAAACCACAGCTATTCGGATAAGAATTTGTGAAGTCAGCATTCTCACTTAATGCATTTCAGTCTAGGACAATGCAGAACCATTTATGATCCTAATTTGGGTGTAATAGGGTAATTACTTGCAAATCTATTAGACACAGTATTGTTAGTCCACATTTAATTGTGGGGTAATGATGACAATGGGATAGGCCCTAACTGTTACAATCAAAGTCCTCGCCTTGTTCAGGTTTGCAAACCCCATTGACCTGCAAGGGAACTAAATCTTCCATAAATAAAGCGTCAGAATAATTTGGGAGTGCCGTACTATCCCCCTGCCCCCTCCCACAATGCCTCATTATATAATACAGAATTAGAATATTATAGATCTGAAAAAAAGCATGAGCAGTTGTGATCTGAAATACCAATTGTGATCTGACGCCTCCTTCTCAATATGAAACACCCCCCCCCCCCCAACTTTTGGCCAGAGATTTGGAAAATAAGCCTTCTTGAAAACAAATGACATCCATTATTAAGGATTATGGTTCCTTCTTTTATCTCACTTACCTTTGCTCTCTGTCTATCAGAGCCTTTTGTGGAGGTTTAGAATGTAATATAACTTCTGCCCCAATAATTCAGCAACTTCCTGCAGGCTTCCAGACTATAAATAGGGCTGGAGGGAGGATTTTTCTCCCTGTTTTAGATTCCTAACTGTACTTACCCCTTGGATGCTTTCTTATCTGGCCCCACACGTGCTTTGTCCATGCAAATCCTGACAGGCATTTTTTTTGGTTTAATAAAGCAGGCATTGTCCTGCTGGGAACTGAACTCCATCTCCATTCTTGCCTACAAATTCCTTCAAGCAAAAACTGACCCTAAAAGGCACTTTAGAAATGTTACTGAAATTCAGCTAAGTGCTAAATTTATTCCCAGGATTCCAATAACACTAATGTGGTGCTGATCTCACATGCAGAATTAAAACATTTTAAATCTTCACATACAAATCTTTAGAAACGTGTAATTGGAATTTGAAGCCAAGAAGCAAATTTTTCTTCATGTCTTGAAAGGTAAGAATCCCAACCACATATTTCTCACAGTTCAGATGTCAGTACTGGGAATAAAGTAACAGTGAGGCAAAAGGCCACTCATCAGACTCCCCAAAGTCAGAAATCATACTTGGTGCTCAATTTGGCATTTTGTAGAGAAAACCCAAGAAGTAAAGATAAGGGTGCTGATCAGACTATCTTGATTATTTTTTTTTCATTTAATCAATACTCCAGTCAAAATATTGGCAGCTGTATAATTGAGAATTCCCACAGAACCCATTACAAAAAAGTTATTGCTTGTGCTAATATCTATTTTCAACTTGCAGCTCAGGAGAAATGAGAGCCCTACATTTACCAGAAAAGGAAATGAGTCAATGTCCATTAAAAAAAAAAAATCCCCTGTTCTGTTAAGTGTAGAAAACTAAACAGACCGCCAGTCCTATAGTCAACTTCTCCTCTGAAGGGTATTGTCTGCTATGTGACATCTATGGAATAGCCTGGTCCTTACTAATCACTCCAGATAGAGACAGAGAAGAGGCCTATTGTGATACCTTAATCTTAACAGGACTCGCTCCTGTCTACTTTCATTCTTCCACCAGTAACAACTAATGGTTGTTTCCTTAGGTATTCCAATTTGGTTTTTTTCTGGAAGTCTCATAATTAGCCTCCTGCTGTGCACTAATACCTAACACTCTAACTCCTTTGCTTCCCCACTGTCTTCAACTAAATTCGGATAATTTTTGATAATTCCTATCCTATTATTACCCAATAACAGAAAGAATCTAATACTGATTTCACAGGTATAAATTGTATTCTAAGTAACACATGAATATTTCCTAGAGAAATTACCCTCAACAAGCAACCAAGCACACACAAAGATTTCTGAAAATGTAGTGGCTTGCCTATCCCTGTATTCCCTATATGTATACTAGAATTACAGTTAGGATAGGAAAAAAAAGATGTCGTGGAATGACCAGGCCTCCAATAAAGGAGGTACTTTACAGATGTGCATCAGAGTTGAGGAAGGCTGGTGTAAATCACTAACCGTTAGCAAGCATTCTCTTTGGATGTACAATATATAAATGTGGTGCTAGAGACAAAGAGAGAAATTGTATATTTTCCAGAAACAACTGACTGGCCAATGTTTATACAAAATGTTGAAGCTGTGCTCAGATCCAGCAAATCTTGCCTTTAGATTGTGAATGTTCTATCACAAAAAGATGTACAGTAAATATGTCCTATTATAACTGTAAACTATATTGTCACACTTTCTTTATTCATCAGATCAGAAGAGACTTGAAAACAAATTATATATATATTTGAGATTAGCACATTTGCAAACAGAATGTTTTAGAAGGGATATTTCTCAGGGAGATAATAAGAATGTTCTGAAGCATTGAAAATATTCTGAAAGCTAAGGATGATTAAAAATCCAGCAAGGGAAAACAAAAAACCTATCTCCTTTATATGCATATGTTTAAAAAGAACTCTTGTAGGCTGTAACCCATGATGAATTCTATGATCCATATCATAGAATTCAGTCTATCTGGCACATAACTTGCCTTAAATTTCCTTACTAGTTCTAGGTCAGGGTTTCTCAATCTTAGCAACTTTAAGATGTGTGAACTTCAATTGCCAGAATTCTTCAGACCAGTCACACTTTTCAAAGTTGCTGAGAATATTAAGAAACACCGTCTTAGGCTAAACATCTTCCAACACACCTCATACCCCATCTATTGTTCCTACATTGCTAAGTGAAAAAGTACTTACCTCTTGTTCTCGTGTTTTCTGAGATTCAGATACAACTGTGCTGTCTTTGATATCTCTTTCTGGTTTTGAAGCTGCAATTTTCCCTTTTGACAATGGACTTTCAGAAGGTTTTGGAGGCCCTTCAGCTAATTTGGGCAGTGGCTTTTCTTCAGATGGAGCACCAGGCATTTTTTTTTGGACTGTGGCCATTGGTAATTTGCTTTGATCTGAAGTCCTGAGATGTGCAGGATGCCTGTCTTTAGCAGTTGAGGGTTCATGGTGCTGGGCTCCTCTCTGTTGCTGACCTCCAGCTTGGTGCCGGGGGGATCCAGTTGGCTGTTGCTTTGAAATGGGCAGTGGCATTGGAGCAGGATCTCCTAGGCTTCCTTCTAGTAGCCTCTGAGTTTGGCAGTTCAAACACAGCCATTCGTTTTTCTGGAAAAAGAAGGAAAAACTCATAATATGCAATTGCTTTGATTGAAAAAATTGTTCGATCAACAATGAATAATATTTCATTCAAGGATCAAAGTTCCCTCTTCTAATGGAAACTCTTCTCTTCATTTACTTTGACTTAATGTCCCTTTGCAGTATATAAAAATAGTAAATTTTGTTGCAAACCAAACCTGCACGGTCTGGTTGACAAGCCAAGGCTATGGTACAAATATATTTATCTAAACATACGTTCCATTGTATCTGTTCATAAGAGCTGTTAAACCAAGCCTTACAAATACAGGCTTATCTAGCAATAAGGCAGTGTATGCTTTACACCAAGTTCTTCAATGTTGTCTGCTAATTGCTGAATATCCAGTTTTTTAAAGAAGAGTATGTTGATACTGCCACAAACCCTACATTCTTACCACTGAACTAAGTCCTTCTTTTGAACTTGATTCTTAAATCTTATCTGTTTGGACATTATACAAGTATCTCCGTTTCAGTCTTAGTTCACTAGTAATAGCATGTGATGGGTATTTAATTTCCAAATAATGTGGCTGTCTAGGACAGCCATTTAATTACTTTTTTCAAAGGCTATTCAAATAGTTTTAACACAAAACAGCAACTGTAGAAAATGTTGTTTAATTTAATTTGACTTGATATACCTCCAACTACAGAAGTCGCTTTTTGATTTACAATAAAAATGAATAAATAAAACCAACACCTTAAAAGCAAATTTGAAACAAATTTTGCCTGATGTAAAAATATTAGAACCAGAAATATTGGAGAATTTAAAAAGCATGGATTATAAGACATAGAGAACAACTAAAGTGGGAAATAAAAACAATAAACCAAGAGAAAAATCTAGATAAGGAATTTTTAATTCATTTAGAAAGGAGGTTTGCTAAAGCTTTGAAGAAGCCTTTGGGATGGGGAAAAAAATTGAACAGAGATCAATAACAGTTGAATGAATTAAAGATCATTAATGTTAGAAGTAAAAAAAAAAGAAATATAAAGTTAGTTTGTTTGACCAAAGTTAAAATAAGATGTTTCTATAAAGTTCTAATATCCTTTATGGACCTTTTCCTTGAAAAGTTGATGATTTATGATTTGCATATGGATGAAGGACAAGTTATAGGAAGAAGAGAGATTTGTTTGTAACCTCATATGGAGTAAAGAGTTATTAAGTTTGTTCGTACTTGTTACAAAAGTAGGAAGTCACTTCCTTAAATATTTATTTTTCCTTATATTACTTTCTACTTTATTTCTTTTTCGTTCCTTGCACTTTTTATTCTTTATTTCTATCTCTCTTTTCCTCATTGAGTTTAGTTTATGTTTGCTTTTACTATTGTAATTAAAAGTCTCAGAAGAATTCTTCTTTAATAAAAGGAATTGTGCTTCTTTACAATGAACAATTATGTCTTCTGGATTCCATTTCCTTTTTTCGTTGCTCATCCTTTCATGCCTAAGATGGGAATAGAACTCATAGTCTTAAAAATATTCTGAAAGTAAAATGTTAATCAACTCTCTTATATACAGTATATAATACCATGAGATGTATATAAAAAAGCTATGCATGTATTGGTATATTTTTCAGTATGGTCATGCTACACCTCTGCGTTCTCATGGATAACAATTACTTCACTTAAGTTTCCTGTATCCTAGAGTACTCCTTAAGTACTTTTCAGAATTTCTGAATATGAAAAGAAAGCCTATTCTTGCTGGCACATTTCAATTATTTTTTATTACACATTTTTGAATAAGTAACAATATGCTTATAAGACACTGAAGTAATTTCATGCTGGCAAGCAGATGATAAATGAATCACAAAGTGAAACATGTTGATATAGGGTCAGATTGGTAGTAGTGGGATACATTTTCTAATCTATGAGACTTCTATCTCAAGTGCATTTAACATCACTTTATTTTTTCTATACATCCCAGAAAATTTAAAAATAAAGCTCTGTTCACCTTCTCTCACCCCTCTTTTCTATCTGTTTAGTAGCAAGCATGGAATTATCAGGCAATACAATAGCAGCAATAAAGCATCTGAGAACACCAGTGCCGTAGCATTATTAATCTGTATTCACATGAACTAAACCAGCTGTCATCTCTTCCCTGGAAAAGTGTGAGCAACAGATGGAGCTTCAAGAATCCCTGAATTCCCAGCAGCCATGTCTCACCTGGGATAAAGACTCTGCATTATGCAGATGGTCCAGCATCCTAAACCTATGTCTGACAGACATAAAATGCTCAGTTGCAACAAGGCCTTGCTCCTCAGTATCCCTTCTGGCGAGTCCCTGAGATGAGCAGCTGCTAGTGCTGAGCATAGATTCTGGAGATAGTTATTAAAGACTTGGAGAATAAACTAATGCTGGAACAATGAATCTTGCTGCTTTGTTGTACACCTCCCAACATTTGGCATTTTATCTTCTTCTCAGATTATGATTTTGTACTGTTTCTATGAACTTTAAATTTATCTAGTTACTAATGGTGTTTAGCCCACTGAAAGGTAAAATCTCCACTGAGCTGAGCTTAGCTCTTGGTGATTTCATGGATATATCTGTCTGTCCATCTCTCTATCTATCTCCATGTGTTTTTAGCATCCACTAGACCAGAGGTCCCCAACCTTTTGGGCACCAAGGACTGGTTCCATGGAGAGAGGTTTTTCCATGGACTGGAGGGGGCATGGTTTTGTGTGCTGACTGCATCCTTGTTTGTGTGGACCGGTTGTTGGCATGCCATGGACTGGGACTGGTCCACAGACCAGGGGTTGGGGACCCCTGCACTAGGCAACCAGTGACCCGTTGTGTCATCTTTTCAGGTATATTTGTGAGCATAGAGAGACTGGTGGAGGTTGTGCAAGAATGGGAGATTTACCTGAGCAACTTGTGACCTTCCATGAAAGGTTCCCCATTGACTTTCTCCTACAAGTTTCCTAGAAAGGAAGTTGCAAGTCCAAACCTGCCAGTGCACACCTGCCATAAACTGTGGTCACATGATACCCATTGACATTTTTCTTGCAAACTTCCCAGGTTTCCCTATTGACTTATAGGAAGGTATCAGTTGTAAATAAAGATCATGTGACCTCAGCAGTGCAGTGGGGCATTGAACAGCAGCAGCTGTATGTTAGCTGACTTGAGGTATTGATGCACTGTTTCACTGAGTTAAAGGTTACAGACATGAAACTTTTAGTAGTATAGAACTGTGGTGGTGCAATGGTTGGAATGCAGTATTTTAGGCTAACTTTGCATATAGCCTGGAGTTCAAGTTTGACTCAGCTTTCCATCCTTCCAAGATTGCTGGAGGCAATATGCTGACTCTGTAAATGACTTAGAGAGGTTGTAAAGCACTATGACGGGTTATATAATTTTAAGTGCTATTGCTATATAATTAGAGGTTTGCCACTGACTTTTTGGATGTTTTTGACTTCCCAGTCAAGCCTATGGTCTTGGTATCCATTAGTGGCCCCCTATTCAAATCATAAAAAGGCTTAACTCTGCTTATCAGCCCTGACATGGTCAGCCATCTGCTACTCCACAATAATTTGACCTATGTCTGTTTCTGTATCTTGCCTTGATGTCTACTAGATTAAACAAAATTCTCAATTAAATAGAACAAAACAAAAAGACATTTTTTCCAATGTGGTAGGCTTCAAATTGGTTGGGATTTCATTTCTAAAATACCTGGGAATTCTGGGAATTGTAGCTCTGACTCACTTGACATAACAGATATCTGCATGAAAATATCATATAAACTGCTCTTACCTTTGAAAGCAGTGGGATAGGAATATAAATTAATAACATGTTCTTTACAACTTATTTTAAGAGAATTATCTATTAGGAGCAGTCTATACGATCTTCATATTTAAACCTGCTAAATAACAATAGAGAAGTTATGATTATGCAATATTGCTGGCTGAGCCAGTGGGAATTGGAGTCTAATGTTTGTAGAATTGTAGAACTCCAGTTTTGCAAACTACCCCTGTCTTGTTCTGTGTGCATTTTTGAAAGGTTCCTAATTGGTCACTGTAAGAAAGTCTATTTCATAGAGGTTGCATGGCTTGATATAGCAAAATTATTCTTATGCTTATATTAGGTTGTGCAGTGTTGTAGATTTGATTTAGAATGTGCTTTGGAACACCCAGGAAAAAGAAGATAGTATCTATTTACATTTAATTAAAGAACAACTTCTAATTCCAGACTTACGCAGCTACAGTAGAGATCACAGCACAAAGTCATACAATTCTGGAAAACAAGGCAGCTACTTTAATGAGCTACTGAGAGGAGTTATGTTCATGCTCTTTAGCATGCCAAAACACCTCTTTTTAATCACATCCTGTATGTCTTAGTCAGTGGTGGGATTCAATATGTGAACAACCAGTTCTCTGTGTGGATGTCGCTTCCGGAAGTCCATTCTGGGCCTGGGCAACAAAAAATTAGCTTCTGGTTCTGCCGAAGTGGTGTGAACTGGCTGAATCCCACCACTGGTCTTAGTTCTTATCAAACTTCTTGAATGTTGGCAAATTCTATCACAATTATGACTGAAGCTGTATAGTAAAGCAGGTCTCAATATCCCAACTGCTCAAGGGATGATATTCACTGAAGCAAAAATTTTGACAATTCCAGTTCTGCAGGAAGGAACTGGACTTAGCCTCAGTCTGCTGATTGTTGTTCAGATAGGATAGTTGCTTAGGTGGAATGTATTTCTACTTGTAATATTTTCCATTAGCACAGTATCAGGGCTTGGAAAGTCTAATGAAACAGAGAAGAGTTGCAAAGCAATGAAAGATATGTTATATTTTACCTGCTTACTTGGACCAATAAGCCCTTTCATTGGTTTTAGATTTGTACAGTATATGTCTGGAACAATGGATGCAAGTACAGAAACAAAGTTATATTCACATTTCAGTCAGGGAGGGTTCTTATAAAGATCAGCATGTATACACAATATGGTCTGATCCAATGCAGATATTCTCTTTGTTATCTGCCTTTCCCTTCAGT